TTCGTCGACTATAAAACAATCCGATACAAATATCTGGGCATTATCAATGTCCCACACGTGGGCAAGGCGGCAATAAAATAAATCTCGCGACCAACCGTAAACAACTACAAAACATCTTCTTAACACTAAAGCATTGTAATAAAATGATTTTATCTTTTATAAGGGTTAGCATATTCTACTATTCTAGTATTCGTACAATTAGTAATTTAATTCTTAGGTCAGGTTGCATTCAAAAGAACACAAATAAAACTACCTCAATTTAGTGAATCACTCGACTATCAAAACCTTTTGTCACATTCGTAAATATCTCATAAAATTACTGCAGTAACAGTACTGTGTATCCTATTTGATAATATATTTTTTTTACGAAAACAATAAAATTAAACATTTTAATGTGCACATGATTCAAAGAGTACTGGCAAGTTTTGTTTGAAAATTACTGGCAATCATCCAGCATTCGTTTAAAACTAAAACGGTTGACAATTATGTGTCAGTAACCCTAAAACTAAAAGAACGCGCGCCGGAATCACCTGAATGATTAAATCATTTCGAAAATAATCGTCTGGGACGTTTTTTTATTAGAACTGGGTATCAGCTTAAACGGTCAATTCCATGTGACCTCGCGACTTGTTTGTTTTTTAAAACCATCAACAGAGTGCGCTCTGTAAAAACTGGCAGTGCGCTAACGACCCGCCTTTTTCGGATTTATGTGTTGCCATATTGAAAATTTGATGATTTTGCCTAAAATATTTAGCAATGTTTTGTGCCAACAATAAAAACAAATTAAAGTATTTATTGTAATCTTTAAAGTGCATTATATATTTTTAACTGTTTATTCTGCCTCACTTTTTAATTGTGATCTAATCTTGCTGAACGTTAGTTCAATTAATAATAAATTCTTATATATATTTGCAATGTTTTATTCGAAGTAATTTTTAATTTCAGAGCAGACGTTTTCTTCTCTAGGTGTTGCGGGGCGCAGGGCGCGGGGGCAGGGGCAAGGCACTCCTACGCAGCGCAGGAGACGATTTGTGGCCGCTGTTCACGAATTACCATAAATTTACAAAAACTTTTAAACTAATTCCCTAAACGATTATGTCTGACATTACGATGTTTTCTATATTTTAGAAAATGTTTTATTTTTCTTATAATATTAAGGGGTGCGAGTATTACGAATAGCCATTTATTTCAACGTAAATTAAAGATTTTTTTCTATTTATTATTTTAACTAATCAAGTATCATCAAATAGTTTTAAATTGATACTAATTTATTATACGGCAAGTCTACATCACTTAAAACAATTTATATTAAAGAAAAGCGTTATTGGAGCATCAAATTCCTCGGTTATTTTTCAAAAGGTGACCTACATATTGAGAAATAAAATGTTTTTATTGACATTCATTCGGATGACAAACTTGTAGCTCAAAGTCAACTTTAATGTTCAATAATTGGACAATGTGTGTGGGCCTGCACTATGAATGGAGCAAGCGTAGGTGTTGGAGATACAACGAAACTCATATATGCAGAATTCAAATAAATACACAAATATGTATAATAACATTTCTATTTAGTTATTTTATGAATTACTAGATGTCGCCCGCGAATCCGTCCACGCAGAATTAAAAAACTTAGTAGCCTATGTGTTCTTCCAGATGTTATACATCTATGCCAAATTTCATCGAGCCGTTCCGGAGATACCTTCAAACAAACATACATCCATCCCCCTAAAAATAGTATTTATAATTTTAGTATGATTAAAACATATAAGTAAACTCTAGTTTTCTAACCAAACTTTTGCAATTTTCTTTTCTGAAAAACGGTCTTATATATAATAAAGGTAAAGTCGAAAGATAAGTACCAAAAGACAGTCGGATACATGAACTCATTTCATAATGTTTTCTCTCTATCTCGTTTAAATTTTATACTGAAATATAATTTTTGCAGTGAATTTCCAGTTTGAATAGAGAGTTAAGTGACAAGCTTTAACATCCCCGGCGTTAGTTTAAACAACATTAAAGCCTTTAATGTTGCCGCCTAATTAAGTTACCATTAGAAATGTTGACGACTTGGTATTCTCAAATGCAATAAATTCATTTAATAATATACATAATGCTATTAAATACTTAAGTTTGAAGTCCTTACGATTTTTCGAGTACATTTTCAATATTGTCTGTTGTTGAGACGACACACGATATTCGGATTTCATTAAACTGAAAATGTCTTAAAACTTTATATATTCCTTTTTAAAATTAAGCAAAATAGTTTTTTTTTAATTTTGTGAAAATAGTGATATTCATTAGTTTGTGCGATGTTTGTTTATAAAAGTAAATACAAAAAAGTGTGTTCAATTTGTATTCACATTGTTTTTCATCAAATATTATAATTTATGTATCAAAATACAAATTAATCGACAGTATAAACGATAAAGTTAAGACTTTACAAACTCATCTGACTTTGTTTGGATAATCGTATAATTTCAAAATCAATTAAATCTCTTGATTTCTTTAAATGTGAGCATTTATAGTGAAACAGATGAATCATGTTTAACAAAATATTATTTTGAACATAATCTCTTATAAAAATCGATGATTTTAGCCTAATTCTTTGAATTCACTAAGCTGCACAAATAAGGTACAGACTTAGGACCGTATAGTTGTTAGAGTTAAAAATTCGAATGAATAAAATAATTACCTTCTAAAGTACTAACACTGATTCTATCGTTTAAGTTATGTCGATTGTAACTCTTTGTTAGAAAATGGCACTCAATAATAAAGCATTCAAATCTAATCCTGTGACAACAACGTTCTTTGTAATATACGAAAAGTGGTTGCAGTTATCGGTTTTATACAAAAGGGTACAAATTATGGTAAATTCCTTTCTTATCCTCACCACATAACTTAAATTGGTGGCCAAAGGCTCCTAAATATTTCCAGCCAGACCCTTCACTATCGACTTTAAGATAATCCATGGCAAAAAATGTCGAATGTTTTGAGTCACTAAAAGTGCAATATATGCAGGAAGATTTTACTTATAGAGTTTTCGTTATGTATAGTATACGAGTATATACTTTATATTGTGTTCGGTAAAATACATAGATATGTAACTAATAATAGTAAATATACACAAAAGTAACACGAGTATTAAATACTTCTACTGTTTTTTACAAATTGAAGAACTTGGTATGCACAGCTAACGTTTAAAAAAAGAACAAAGTTGTCAAAGAATCGACATTCATCGACATCGACAGAATGGACACAGACTAGAGTCATCTACTGCTGTATATAATCTTTGTTAAATTAATATTGCATTAGTGACTAATACAAATACTTCGAGTCTTCGTATCCCTTTATTGGTATCATTTCACTAATAGATGTTGTTATGCGTCAGAATGAGTCGTTAGCATTTCCGCTTGTTATCTCACAAATTCAAATAACACGAAGATTCTCACGATAGTTTACTCTAACGTATAATTTTATTGTTATTCCGATAGTTTGTATGATGTACGTATATTATCTGCCCACTTCGACACTGTTTAAATAATACTATTTAATTTTATTCCAAAATAGGTATTGAGTTGTATATCTTGGATCATTCTAAAAAAGAACAACTGAAGAGAAATTCAAACGATTTTATTAGTTAAAATTTAATTTGCAACAAGATTTTGTTTTATAGTTTTGAATTAAGAAAGTTAAATAGTCTTATTTATATCGTACAAAACCACAATGAATTGTTTCTTTGATGAGGTATAATAATTTAATTATTGACTTTCCGACATCTATAACAAACTCTACATATACAGATTAAATATAGAAAGATAATAAACAAGATTTATCAGCAGCGCTGTGCCGCGTACTGGCACGATTTGAAAAGAAAAAAAACTGTCTTGTAAGAGAACTGATAAAAGGATGTTCATAGATTATACGAAAGCAATTCATACTCAGATTGTAAATATTTAAAACTATGCCCCTTGAGGTGTCTACTATTTGAACTAGGTATTGTAATTTTATTAAGGTTATATATATATATATATACATATATATACAATAAAATTACAATATATATATATATATATTGGTCTTATAAGGCAAATGAAAGCAGAAAGTTTAGTTTAGATTTGTGTTAATTTTAAAATTTACTTAGTTTATTTTTGTTTCGGCTTATTTTATTCGTGAACTTTTCATTAACAGTTTTTGCAATACTTACGTGTTATCAATGTTTCATTATGATTTCATATTTATTTTTCACGATAAAAAAAAACATTGAATGAATCTTCCTTATAGCATTATTGTACATTTTGTACCATCTATATTATTTTTTAATCTATGATAGAGAAACAATTCTTATCGTAGCCCAAAATAAATATTGAATGCTCTCTGGTTCATAATAATTATACGACGTTCGTTGACAAAGACGTGGTTATGTCGTCATTTATGTTAACATCTCAAATGTTTGTGTCATTACAAGTCTTGAATGAAATAAGTAGAATTTAAATCCTGGGGAAATACTACGTAGGAACTTTCTTAAAGAATTTTTATGAAAAAATAAAAGCACCCGTGTCTTTGGATCTTAACATTTACGTATTAAGGTTACCAATTCTTAAATAATATACAAAAAGTCATTTTTCATTTTTTTTTATTTCTTTTTAAGATATTTCATTTGACTACGCATTTCTTGCTCCCAAAAATACTTGTAAATATTTCATCCGTAAAATATTTTCGTGATATATCTCTATGTTTTATTGATGTACATGTTCACATTATCAACGTTATAGGGTAACGTTGATAATGTCAACATCAGATGTCGAGTTTCGCATCAAATTCCGCTCCAAGATTCAAGTCTATAACATCACAGGCATTAGTTATTACGTCGTCATATCACAAAGCACTACGAAGCTCTCCGCTAAGCTTTTCCAAAGCTCCTGTATTAACTCCTAGTTACGTGTTACAATTTCAAAATCCGTATTCTGAAAAAGAAACTTAAAAGCGTAGCATTATGTTACCTTTGCATTCGTTGGCATCACGCGCGGTGGCGCGGCCCCAGGGCCGGTCGAAGTGGAAGGGCTTGCAGCGTTCGCAGTCGCGGCCGGCAGTGTTGTGCTTGCAGTCGCAGGCCAGTTGCTGCGCCCCCGCACCCGCACTGAGCCCTGTGCCATCTTCCGCGCGCGCCGGCACGCAGCGGGACGCGTGCCCGTTGCACTTGCAGCGCCCGCCCACCGCGAAGTCCGAGACGGCGTAGTGCTGAGTGCCCGGCGCCGCCTGCCGCTTGCCGTCAGGCTCCTCGCCTTCGCTCACCATGTGCAGCCGGTTGAAGACCACCCTTACATCGGTGGCGGTCACCCAGTCTTGCAGCACGGGCGATATGTCGAAGTTGGCGGCGCTTGGGCGACCCTCGAGCGTGCTGAAGGCTAGCCGCGCGCCACCGGAGCCCTCGCCGGTCAGCCTGTGTGAGTCGGAACAGCGCGCCTCCTGTTCGTTGGCGGCCGTGACGGTCGCCTTGTTTGGCCGGCCATACACGCGTCGGCACTGGCTCGAATAGAACTGGAAGGGCTGCCAGGTAACGCCGTAGTCGGCGCTCTTATAGATAGCGACAGAGTCAGGGCGGGCGGCCCTCGGGCAGAACTGAAGGCTGACATAGGTGAGCTCGTACTTCTTGCCGAGGGATAGCGTGAGAGAGACGTTGTCGGGCGGGGAATCGTAGGCGGCGGGCGGGAGCGCGGCAGAGCGCCAGCAGGTGACATCGTGCGGGTTGTTGAGGTCGGTAAGGTGCGCGGGCGGATGCCGACGGTCGGAACGCGCGGCGTCACAAACGCGGCAAGCGCTGTCGGGTGGCTGGTCGCCGGGCGGGTCGCACAGGCTCTCGGGCCCGCGTCGGCCGCAGGTGGAGGAGGCTGCCACGGGGGCACCGAAGGCCGCGTTGACGAAGTCAGGGATGCAGCGGCGGGGGCGCTCGTCCTCGTAGCAAGGGTCGGGGGGCGCGCCGGCGAGGGCCAGGGCCGCGGCGGCCAGCAGGGCCACAGCGCGCACGGGCATGCTGCACTCACTGTCACTCACTCGCGAGCCGAGCCGGCTGGCGGCAGACACGTGCTCTCTGTTCGGGCGCAGCGCGCGGACTGGCTCGGCGGGGCGGGAGCTTGCGACTCGCGGAGCTTACGCCGTACGCATTGGCCGAATGTTTTAGTGAAAGTTTTTTTCCTATTGCCTCCAGGGAAACGGGATATAGAAAATATTGACATATCAGAAATGGTATGCTTTTTGCATAGTGTTTTTGTAACTTAAAAACGGAAAAGCTTTTCGATGACTTTTTAAACTGAGATTTTTTTTTGTTTTGACTTTAATTTAAAAGCTCTCATTTATCAAGAAGATGAGCACCTTAACGTTCAATAACGAATGGTTATCACTATTTTATAATTTGATGACATGAGAGTTGAATCTGTAAAAGCTCCATTACATGTAATTATTTAGAGCTTTTTCTAATTCACATTGACACTTCCGACAAAGCTAACGAGCGCACTAACAATTACACTATCGAAAGATTTTGTAAAAATTGACAAGTAATTAATTCAAATTTCAATCCTTTACTATATATTATCGCTACTGTTGAGCGCTAAACAAGTAATACTGTTATTGGCTATTAATAAGAGTTCAACGACCGTCGATATTTTTTCATGTGATAATAAAATCTATTAGGTAGATCTGCAGAAAAAAATTTGGACTATTTCTAACCCGCAAAAATAAAGTTAAACATAAGATCGGGGATTCGAATACACCATTCACAGCAGGCTTTAAGCTTCATTAGAAAAGATGATAAATATTAAATTATTTATATTATAATTTACCCATATTTGATTATATCAATGGATAACTCTGGCAATTCTAAAAATATCTTACATCTACAAAAGTATTCAATATCTATTTGAATTATTAAGAAGGTTTAAGAATTCGCAGAGTGCGAGTAAAGATAAAGTAATTAATTATCTGGCGGGCAGTAAATAAAGACAGTGGTGCGCGGCTCAGTGCGGCGCGCTTCGTTGCAACAAATCATGCACTTTCCCTTGCATTCGGTTTGTAAATCAAACTGTTAAGACGAAACTGTAAACAATTACTTAATCTTGTAAATTATACAAACTATTAGCTCGTAACCTTATAAGGTTATAGTCTACTTAGTAAAAATATATACGAAATATATTAATCAGAATTGGAAACTGGCATTCGACTATTGTTATGTCATACCTCTTACCGTGAGTTTCTGAAGACAGAATCTCCGTTGAAAACGTATGTTATATCTGTTTTGTCGATATGACGATATCTTATACAGGGACTTTGGTCGACAACGATTAGTAACCTAAGTATAATTAAATTAATTATTAAGAAGATTTTCATCAAATTGTTCACACAATTAGATTGATTTAGATTGTATTATATGTATTAAGGGAAAGTTTCAAAGACACGTTTGCAAATTTTACTAAAGACATTGAATATCAACAGAGAATTTCGTTCTCCCAGCAATAATAATGATTGTTATAAGTCAATTAACCCTTACTTGTATTACGATGAACTTAATAAAGCAACAGCAGGCCTTTATTGTGAAGAAATTAATTAGGAACGCGCGTATTCTGCAAATTACGACTGAATTTATTATTATTGTTAAATGATTCCTCAGATCATCGTAAGTTTAACGACACGAGACGAGATATCTTCGATATAAGCGATAGTTAAATAACATCTCACTTTCAGTTCAACAATCCGTAACAAAAAATTCCAATGAATCGATTAAATAATCGATTCACTATTCTCTCGTATGGTATTTGTATCTGGTTACATGCAAACTTCTCGCATCGTTGAGTACGACTCGCGCCGGGAAATCGATAAATAAATCGAGTCGACTCGCTTATCGAATGTTGCCTTTTTATACATTTAAATGTCGAGGCAACAATTAAACGCATTGTGTATTCCTGGAACGCGGGATTGTGAATGTAACAGAACAGTTGGCTTTGTTAAATAAATCAAGAGTTAAAGATCATGTACATAGGAAGCAATTATTTTATTTATCTTACAGAAGATCTTATCCATTGACGAACTGCTTTCTATTTTATAACTTTTACCTTTTAAGGAATATGATATTCTTACCGTTCAATACATATTCCGTTCTACAATACAGTTCGCGTGTGATGATGACTTACCAACATTATATAAGCGCTTACAAATATACAAGTTGTTGCCCGCGACTCCGTTCGCGTGGAATTAAAAATAAACTTAATTAACCTAAATGTTCTTCCAGACTATGTCCTATTTCATCAATATCCTTTGAGCCGTTCTGAAGATACCTTATAACAAACATTCTTATATCCATCTAAATTTTCGCATTAATAAAAATCATCATCATCAGCTCACTATACGTCCCCACCGAGAGGCTCGGAGTCTACCCTAAGTTAAGGGTGATTAGGCCATAGCCAACCACGCTGGCCTAATGCGGTTTGGTCGACTTCACACATATCTTTGAATTTCTTCTCAGATATGTGCAGGTTGCATCATGATGTTTCCCTTTACCATAAGAACGTCGGATAAATGTACATATGTAAATCGGAAATCAAAAAACATATTGGTACATGGCGGGATTCGAACCCAGGACCTGTTGACCCCTGAGCCATCGACGCTCTTAAATAATAAATATGATTAAACTACAATTAAAACTATCTTTAAATAATTGGTATATTTAAAGTTCATTATCATTTACTTATCTCTGTATACGGGGGACATGAATGCGGGTTACTTTTCGTTCTATCAAATCTTATTCAATTCAAAACTTTAATTACACTCTATTTGAATAGTTTATCAGATATTGCATCACAAATGACTTTATCTTGTTATTAATCATAAATACAATTGAAGACAATTTATAGCTCCAATTATGATCATGATGTTATGCGGTTGTAAATTACACGAGATAAACTTGACAGATGTCAATAGTTTAATGAATTTGTCAGATATTATTGACTATTGAAAGATATCCCATGACAAGACTTAACAGGTGCCGGTAACTGTTAGTTAAACTAAAGTTAATCACAGAAAGGAGAGTGGAAGTAATTAATAAAGGCTTTAAACACAATTTTTCTTGTGAAAAAAGTGATGATTACCTAATTCTATTCCAGGGGCAATAGGGTTGAGAACAAACGGCCAGCCAAAAAAATTAAGCTAAAACATTTAGGTTGGTAAAACCTAGTTCGCTAACTCTACGTGAATGAGATACGTCTAGGAAGATGATGACCTAATTTAATTCCATCTTCTTTCTTTTTTACCGCTTTGTATAAATCTTTCTTTCACATAGAAATAGGCAACATACATAACTTAATTTATGACATTAGATTTGAACTAAGCTTCGAATGTTTAACATTTAAATCTCCATAATATCAAACGCAGTAAACACGATTCACCGTCTAGACGAAAACATTATTATGAGCTTAAAATCCTAGTATTCAAATCTAATTTACCACAGTTGCAGGTAAACGTATAATGTAAAAGTAAAAACAACTCAAAGCCTTTGCATTTGAGTACATTATCGTCTATCATCTAATAAAGTTCCACCTTCTAACAGAAGAAAAAACGTCGGGTGCTGAAAATTTAATTAAAATGATACCAGCGTTAATAAAAGTGCAGACAGACAAACAGACAAGCGGCAGAGCTCGTTTGCGAATAGAAAAAAGACGGGAGTCGGAGTTGAATTGACGGCTTGCTAACGGTGAGTGGCGGGGTGCCACACAAGCGGGTTCCGGGGGCTCCAGATGCTCCACGGGGCTCCATAGGACTCCGCAGATAACTGCAATAGGGGAGCTTTGTTACTAACTACTTAATTAACTGACGCTTACGAATTCTCATCCAACCAAAAAATTTCACTTCGAATATTTTTATTTTGGCTTTACCTCATTGTTAATTTAAGGACCTTAAAAATGCTTAGTGTTAATTTTTTTGTAGTTAATTTTGTTTTAAACTGAGATACTAGATTTAATTTTAATTTAACATTGGAGTAAATTGCGATGTAGTTACGTTTCGTTTACTTAATTAGTAGCCTATGTGTTATTCTAGAACATAATCTACATCCATGCCAAATTTCAGCGAGATACACGCAGCCGTTCCCGAGATACCTTCCAACAAACATCCATCCATCCATCCATCTAAACATTCGCATTTATAATATTAGTAAGAAGTAAGACATATGTAAGATGATACCTTCAGATTGATTTAAAAATTCTGGTTAAAAAGTGAAAAGGCTTGCTTTTAAAGATAACTTTATACGTGACAAGTATTTTTAATCAACATTAAAAAAGTACATGCTTATTTAAATAAATACAAGCATATGTAAGCTGTGAATCACATAACTGGGTCGTTTATTTTGAGTGCGCCACAATTTGACAACGTTACAAAATTAGCCACACGCTCAAGTGTTGACGAAAAGAGCATCATTTTAAACTATTGCATATTTATAAAGAAAAATATTATTGCTGATATTAAGATAGCCTTTTTCATAATGTTCAAGTAAATCCTGGATAAGCTATTTGGAATTTATTTATCAAATAAACGCAGAAGTATTTTGTCTCAGTGTATTTATTTGTTAGTTATCCAGCACTTTAAAATATATTGTAAACAAAGAGGCACTTAAATTTATTAATAAGGTTTATTTAGCTAACAGTCCAGATAATGCAAACGTAAAAACAGTTAAATAACACTCTATTTTAGTTGTCAAAAATAGTCTACGTTGGATTTATCAAACATCAGAACCATAAAGGAAGATTTATAAAGTCACGTCGGAAAACATTTGCAGCCCTCTAGTCTCCGGTCGAGTGGAGATAATTAGGAGCGGCCGTGTCCGCCGCCCTCGGGTCAAACGGACCCCCGGCTGTCCAGCGAGGAATATTAAGGTAAATCCTGACCCGAACCGACAGAAAGGGAACATTATAATGTTATTTGTCATAATTTTGATCCTCCTCCAGTAAGCGGTATAAGCTTCTTGTTTATTGAATGGTCGTTTGTTCGTTTAGTTTTACGTTTAAACAAACATTTATTATATTAAAATATTTAAATAAACTAAGA